TGGCTAATTTTTTGTTTCTATTTTTAGTTGTCCGGTTAATTTTTTTTTCTATTTTTAGTAGAGACGGAGTCTCGCTCTTGTTCAGGCTGGTCTCAAACTCCTGAGCTCAAGCAATCCACCCGCCTCGGTCTCCCACAGTGCCAGGATTACAGGCGTGAGCCACCGCGCCCGGCTCTCATCTGACCTTTGAAGGGCCCTAAGGAAGGGATAGGCCTTGCTGGACTCCGAGGGACCAAGGGGAGTTCTGGATGTCAGCATGAGGGCCCCAGATGGGCCCGAGCTGTTGTTTGGTCCTGCCACCACCCCTGCCTGGACAGCCTGGGTCCAGGGGCCAGACTTCTGGGGTTCCTTGCTTTTGCGAAGGAAGCAATTTTTTGCACAGGTAACTTTTTGAATTCATTGGTTCTGAACAGACTGAGCACCCTCTTCCGAGCACCAGTTTCCTGGCTGTATAATGGGGACAAAGAGAGGTCCTTGCTCTGGAAAGATGCGGTGTTCCTAGGCAGGGAGAACACACGTGTGTGAATTTCTTCCTCCTCACTGGCCTGTGGGGCGGGGCTCCAGTCAGCCGAAGCCCTCCCCCACCCGGGCTGCCAGACATGGGCACTGTGCCATTGGCAGTGCCACGGGAAGGGTGCACAGGGTGTGGGCAGGAGGCGTGACAGTGGGTCCTACCCTGGTGGCTCAGGCAAGCTGGTGCAGGATGCCACCTCCCCCTGACTCCAACCTCAGGAAAGCCAAGGATTAAATCCATAGAAGGCTCAAATAATAGAATGAGTGATGCAAAAGATTGCTGGCCTGGGAAATTTAAAGTGAAAACCCATGAGGGTACCAAGAGTAAAAATAAACAAAAAATACAGTAATATCAAAGAAGATCAAATGAAATAAATACAAGCTGAGAAAACAGTAAAAATGAGATCACAGAGGTTGGCAAGAAGGGGTAGGGAGGACAAAATAGAGAGGGACAATTGTCATTCAACAGGAGAGCCAATAGCAACACTAAGGGAGCAGGTGAGATAAGCAATAAATAAGGGTGTTTTTAAAAAAGGAAAGGAAAAATTCAGTGGGTTGAGAGAGGAAGGTAGCAGTGGGACGTTACGAGCTCGGACCCTGTCAGAGGGTGGGTTTCCTGGAGTCTGTGGGTAGGGCTGAGCCTGGCACTCAGACTCCTTCCAAGATGCTGACTGACCCCTCCCTGGGGGCTTGGCCCCGGGACTCAGGTTAGCCCCCAACAGTCTACACAGGAGAGCCTCTCTTCCATGCCAAAGCCTGCAGAGGGTCCCCCAGGCTGGGCCGTGGTCTCTCTTTGTCTGCAGTACCCTTCATGCAGGGCCTGGGCTGAACTGTCCTAGAAATCCCAGGTGGGCTCTGTACTGAGGGGGCAGGGAGGAAGACACAGTCAGGGGGTGGGGGTGGGGGCGCTAGGAGAGGCATGATTCAGGAGGAGCACCGGTGCAGGGACTGGCAGTAGTGTTTCTACATTCGGCTGTGCCACGGTGGCAGCCTGCTAGGAGGCTGGGACTCCAGCTGGCCCTCCCTCAGTGCAGCTCTTGGTTAGGGTGAGAAACATGGTGATGGAGAAAGGAGAGGTCTGCATTTCTGGAATGACAAAGCTTTAAGTCACAGTGACTGTGGCTTCCAAGTGGACCACTGAGGCCTCTCTGTTTGCCTTGACATTTTGCCTGCAGCTTCGGCGCAAACTTCTTGCTTCCAGTGGTGTTTTCGTTGATCTTCCTGATGGGTGGGGTTTCTCTTTTTGCACCCTCTGTCAGTTTCCTTGTGTGTAAAATGGGAAGCCCATGTCCTGGATGAGATGTTAGGTGGTGAGCACAGTGCCTGCATGCGGTGAGTGCTGAAGAAATGTAGTTAGAATCAGTACAATTGAAGAAGTCTTTAGAAAAGGCAATCCCCTGTGCTGGCTGAACTCCGTGTAAAGGAAGGATTTACTGACTTGGCTCTAATTGCTGTGAATGCACCTTTATGTAGTGAGGAGCAAACCAAGAGGACTGAGACCTGGGTCTGCTAGCAGCTCACCTGAGGCCTTTCTCTGAGCCTCAGCTTTTCCCTCTGAAGGAGGTGTGCACCATATGACCTGGAGATTGCTAATCTATGTTCTCCAGCCAGGTTATTGCAGTGGAGGTGAACTTGCTCATTGGGTAGAGTTGCTTCCCCTGGTTTGGTGGGGGTGGGGGGCTGGTTTTAGGGAGGCAGATTTTGTAGCCCTAGAGGCTATCGGGGATTAAGGGGGCTGGGCTGGGCCAGGAGCAATAAGTAATGAAGGGCTTGGTGAATCTGACCAAGCCCTCAATATTGGCCAATGCCCCTGGAACCTGGCAATCCCAACTTCAGGTGGCAGAGGATTAAAAACATCTTACGTTGAGGTGGATCTGTATAGGACCCCAGTGGTTTCTCAGCTTGCCTTCCAGCTCAGAAGGCAAGCCCAGAAACACCTCTGGGAGAAGGCGTGCACAGTGCCCACAGTGATCAGAGAAGGGGCATCCAGGGCATTCTAGCATGGCTGGGAAAAGTGGCCTGGCTGGGTGGAGTGAGCATCTGGGAAGGGTCAGTGACCACACGCCCTGGCAGCAGCGGTGGGGGAGCACCTGAGACAGAAGGTGAGGTTGCTCCAGGTCAGCAGCTTCCAGAGGGGATCCACCTTGAGTTGTGACCTTCAGATGCCAAACCACAGGGACCCCATCATCCTCCTCACCATCCAAACTAGAATTTGTTCCAAAACTGTGCATATGTGTTGGTGGGTTGTCTTCTTAATATTTGGAAGGAGGTCTTAAGTCAAGCTTGTCTCACTGCAATCACGCTACCTCCACCTAGCAAAATATACACAAAGGACAATTTCTGAGCGTATCACATGCCCAATTCTCCAAACACACTGCAGGGGCCCAAACGACAGGAGCCCTCTGGTGAGGGGTATCCTGACCCTGTGACTTTTGACCTCAGGTCAGGACCACACCACCAACCTTCCAAGGTGGAGACAGTCCCCGTAGGAACCAAATTGTTATATTAAAAAATCCATCCTTTATTTCCCTTCTCCCTACAACTTTGCAGCCAGTGAATGGTGGAATTTTGCAAGAATGAGAATTGGAGGCATGGGGTGTTTGGAGAGGCTGGGTGGGACATGTTTTAGCATTTGAGGCCTCTAAGGTTTCTCGAAGAAGACGTGTGTTGTTTTGCGTGTGTGTGTGTGTGTGTGTGTGTGTGTGTGTGTGTGTGTGAGAGAGAGAGAGACCCCACTCAGCCCAGAAGCCCAGTCTGCTGTGGGCGTGGCCATTCCTCTCTGCTTGCCCATTGGCCGCCTCATCCTGGAAGTTACCTTGCCGACTGTGGGATTCCTTGATATTTCTGCAACTCAGCTCCTCCCCCGCAGGCTGCCCCTGCCCACCGGCCCCATCAGGGCTTCCTCACAGCTCTCTCGCCTCCACTGGCCCCCACTGCACAGCCTCCTCCCCAACCTTTCCAAAGGAAATTTGCCAGTGACTACTCTGTGGCTGGCAGCTTGGGACACACGGACACACACACACACACACAATTCTTTCTTCTCTTCCTGCCTTGGCTCACTCACCAGTACTCAATGCCTGGAAGCTGCTCCTCCTCCCTTGGTAACCTCCACTTACTAGCCTTTGAAACTGTCACCTCCTCCAGGAAGCCATCCCTAGCTCTTCCTCCCAGGACGGGTCAGGGTCCAGGCGCCTGTGCATACATAGCTGATTCATAGTCCTCCCTACATCGTTTAATGAACTGTTTAGGTGTCTGCCTCTCCCACTGTGCAGGAGCTCTAGGCAAGGGCTCTGGTTGAGCCTCTCCTCGCGCCCAGTGCATTGCCTGGCGCGCGGCAGGAGTCCTGGGGCCCAGCAGACGACAAGGCCAGCGGGGCATTCCCAGGCTTGCTGGAGGGGCAGCCCTCGAATGAGGCTCTGCCAGGAGGGCCCCGACCCAGCTTCCGCAGAATACGGCCCGGGAGGGCTCAGCTGTCTCCCTGGATCTTGGGTGTGCCACGTGGGGCTCAGTCCGTCTGGGACTTGGGGTGTGTGCACGTGCGTGGGGGATGCTGCGCGTCTGGCTCGCCTCCCCCTTGCAGGCAGGAGCCACAGCCGCCTAACGCTGTTTGGTGGTGGCCGGCCGGAGGCATGCACGGACGGCGGAGGAGCGGCTCTCCGCTCAGGCTCGCGCGTGAAAGCTCCGCGTAGGGTCGGAGTCTGAGCCGCCGGCCGCTTAGAAGGCTCCTCACGTCCAGGCGCCGCGGTCACGGCTGCGCTGGTTTCCGGCCATGAATTGGGCTTCAGAGTCCGAGCGCGCTGCCCGCGGGGCGGGGGATGGGCGCCCGCCGAGGTCCTCGCGAGCCGCCAGGGTTCGAGCCCGCAGCCCGGGCTCTGCTCCGCGACGGCCAGCCGCGGCCGGCCCCCCTTTAGCTCCCCTCGCATCCCGGTGACTGGCCCAGCGGCGCGTCGCGACTCTCCGGGCTAGGCGGGTCGGGCTCCGCGAGGGGCTGTCTGTTCCGGCCGGGGCATGACCCGAGACGCTTGGCGGCTGAGTCGGCGGGCGCCTGGGCGCTCCGGGAGCCCCCCACCGAGAGCAGTCGGTAGCAGTCCCTCCTCCATCCTCCCGCCCCCCGCGAACCGGGAGGGGAACGAGGCCCCGACCGCCAAGTCTCCGCGCGTTGCAGCCTAGGCCAGTCCCCGCCGCCGTGCGGGCCTCCGAGCGTCCCCCGGGCCAGGAGCGCGGAGCACCCGGCGCCCCCTCCGAGCCGCGAGCGGGCTAGCGCCGCGCGGCGAGGCTGAGGCTCCGCAGTCACGTGGTCGGGAGGAGGGCGGAGGGGAGGGAGGCGGG